GCTTACTCCAATAATAGGAGTTGGCTCTACAGGTTGCCGACTTGCGGAAGGTTACTTTCCCACTCTTGTTCAGTCTAGTTTACAGTTGGCTTACTCTAGTGACAGGATCTTGGTGTCCTTTCAACGAGCTTCGCTAGTGTGGATAAGAAGATAGCGATTATGCAATGGGAGATGAACCTGGCATTCACTATGGCGACGGGGTTGACCGGGGTAAGTTATCCTTGGGGTTAGATACTTAGTTCTAACACAATGGGTTATAGGGAGCGGTATACCTAGGGAAACTTGTTTGGGAAATCGCCTTAAGTGATACCATGGAGGCATTGCGTGCCGTGGTAAGATCCGTTGAATGACTGCTTAATAACATGATGCTGAGTCATTACTCCTTTAGGCCAAGAGATACGTCGCCACCAAAATGGAATGAATAAATGAAAAGGCAAGAGGGGGAAGGGGGCGGGCATTCACCAGCGGGGAGGTACGAAAGAAAAACTTAGTTAATTCTTTATTGAAGTGTTTGGGCCTGTTTTTTTTATATTTTCACCCTTAATACACGCTGATTTTAAAAGTATCCGAACACGTAGACCACATCAATAAACAGTGACCCCCATTATCGTCATTAGAAAGAAGCATCCTCTTCCAAGCACAACTCCAACTCTGAAAACTTAAAAAGGACAGTCCTACCCTATTCCCTGACCCTTCCGTTTCCAGACGGCCTTTTGGACAGCACCTCTCTCCAGACCCAACCGTGCCAACCTACAGCCTTTCTACACCCTGGAGAAATTCCTGCAGCCTTGCCAATTCACCCCAATGGTCGCGCATGCTTTCATATCACTAAAAGCCATGGAGAACTTACTGCCAAAAGATAGACACGCTTGAACGATCCACAGAGGATCTGCTGGAGAGGCCCACCAAAGCCCCAGGACCCTGGCTTATTCATGGGGTAGTCGTTCGTCGATTATCAGGCCGTGTACCCGGCTGATGAGATAAGGAGCACGTTCTTATTGCAAGCGTTCTCGGATATGAGACTTGTGCCGGCTCGATGCACTAGAAATAGTATTCTTTGGGAAGAGCTTGTGGCGGGAGTTTCCAATGGGACTTAGAATGGCCAAGAAGGTGGACTTGGTAGTTGTTGTGCAGGGTTGGTTAAAAGCTTTTCCCTTTGCGCTTCTGAAACAGGCAGAGGAAGGGATGTTAAGGTTTTAATTTACAATGAGGGGGCAGGGGAAAGTGGTCGGTGGGCAGATGATATGCCCTTTCTGGGCCAGTGATAACGGGTTCAAAAAGCTGGTGAAGGAACTGGGATGGACGGAGGAGTGGGAGGAAGTTTGAGGGTTAGTCAGAGGATGGAGCGATAATATGGCTGTGGCGGAGGCTGAGAGGAGTAAAGATGCCGAACTGGCAAAAGGCATGGACACGAAAACTGGCTGCCCAATGGAAGACATTGAGCATGGCTGATCTATCGCTGATAACTGGAAGTATAGTATCATGGTGGTGAGGGAGAGGAGTGTATTGCGGGCAGTTGTTATCGAGGCTCTTGGACAATACTCTGTTTATTCCTCGAGTGCCGGATATCAATTTCGAAAACCTACACTACATGCCGGGCGCCCCGGTGAAGAAGAATAAGGCTTAGCCGTGAAAACCCCAAGATCTAACCAATGCCACAAACAGAATCCCTCCGATTGGGAAGCCGTTTTTCCGCCGCCAAACTGTTGAACAACTCTGGCCGCATCTAAATCTGAACGGCAGCGTCCTTTCGATTAGCGAAATTGGCACTCCAATGGGCTTCGGAGCCGTCGCCTACGCCCGCTCCACAATCCTAGAGGACTGCATCAAGGACGTTGGCGAAGCCTTTCAATCCCCCCCAGATCAAGAATGCCAGTGGCTTCGCCAACCCCATATCGAAAAGGAGCCCGGCACTATAATCGGCCCTTGCATGAACCAAGAACAATGCCATGTTCTCGTGCCTCTAATCCCAAGGTTCGGATCTTGTCCATAACTTCTGTTCAGCTCTAACTTAGGGGATTGCCTTCCGGCTCTTGGAGAACGTACCAGCTTTCCACGGGGGGCAAAAGTAGAGCAGTAGTCTAGGGAGGTGCGTTGTGCAGCTCGGCCCCTACGTATAGTGGCTCGTTTGGGTTTAAGGGGGGGAAATTGACCAACCTTTAGGCGGTTTCGTAGTGTAGAATCAACTACACCACGAAACCATACCATAACTTAGGGCCAGATCAATACATAACATATCTGTTCATCGTTATCTAAACCACCATAATCCCCACTGTCGCACCACTCACTTCTGAAATCCCTTCATCCGCACCAAATTTTAAACTCGTGTCGGAGGGTATGTCGGTAACGTCAAATGTTACTTCTAGTTGCTACGCATAGCGTATTCTACTAGCTAAGTTTTTTCCCAACATATAATAGAAGTATGTATAAAGGCGATACTTCATGGGAAATGGGCGCTGACACAGACACTCATAATAACTTTAATTTGACATGTTACCAGGACCGCTAATACCATACCAGTTGATGGAATCCAGCACAATCCAGCACGCTGGAGCTTTACCGTGTGAAGAAATCGCTAAGTGTTCTTGCGCGGGTTTTGCATTTGAGCACTATCGGTGGGGCAGGTGGATAGGTTGACGATTACGTGTCAACTCAGACCCATCAGGTATGATCGTGATGTCCTAACATTCGTGACTGCTATTGCATAAGCCCAAAAATCGGTCAGAGTCGCAACGTTCTGGTGGCATGCAATAGCAATCGTGTTCACAAACATCAGAACATTACGAGTAATCAATACGGTGAGTTCATTACTGAGAGGGACGGCAAAAGGGGTATTTCAAGAAACAAGAAAGGTCTTCATCCTGCATCTCTTTTTCCATCCACCACCACCTTCCTTCGCCAGGTACTAACCACTTCTTGTACCACTTTGACAAGATTTGTCGGTGTGGAGACTACAAGGTAAGCGAGACAAGCCAATATCTCACTTTGAGTCATAAGACCAGCTGATGGATTCACTGACATCACTTACCTTACCACAACTAGTATAAAGAGAACCACCAACGCTGCTTCATTTTCCACCAACTCCACCAGACAATAATCCTAAGAAACCCCACCCCATCCGAAAAAAGGTGCCCTGCCAGCATAGCCGATATGAAATCTCGCTAACTAGAGAAAATAGAAATGTTTGCCAACCGGGGGCGGCACGTCTGCCAATTAGTTCGGACACACAATCAGTGGGCCTGCAACCGCATGGCGATGCCCAAGAGAGTCTTCGCCCTTTCAATTTACATTTCAAATCGGTGCGGTACAGGGAGACTAGTATCTGTAAAGTTACCTTCATATGTCGTCGAGGTACAAGTATGCAAGGGAGAAAGAAATTTAGCAACTTTGAATTTTCCTATGTCCCGGAAGCGGTTTGCACATACCTTTGTTGGCCTAACTCCGACAGAGAGGCCCAGTAGGGATCCCACTTTACTCCCAAACTTGGCTGGACTCATGAGAGACTGAGGGTCGGGGAGTATGTTAGATGGCAATGAGGGCTCCTAGGTAGGGCAAGTCAGTTAGACTTTCCTTAAGTGTACAGTCCTAGATTGATTTACACAAATTAGGGGGCTGGTTAAGTGGAAAACTGGTATGTTTGCAGCAGAATTTGGAGATTTGTTTTCACACTTAATATTTGGAACATATCCTCTACTCACGTTCACTATACTGATCCCCCTGTAGGTCGTTTTTAGCGAGTGATACAACGTGACCACTAACAAAGCCAGGCCCGAGCCTTAGTCCCCGAGCCTACTTTGGGAGGCTCGAACCCTGCATCAAATCTCGAGCGGCTCGAGTGCATTCCCTATCAAGCCGAGCCGGCTCGAGCCAGTGGCCGGGCTCGACTCGAACGGGCTCGTGGGGAACACTACATTTGGGTCATTCTTTAATGGTTTAGGCTGTCGAATCCAACCACAAGGATGCGAAAGGCATGCAAAAATGGATTTTAGGAGTTATACTCGGAACAGTAAGTTTTACTAAATATTTCTACAAACACATATGCTAACTAGCGCACTAGTTTGGAGCTAAATATTGGCTTGATCGTGTGGTCGAGACAGTAATTAAGAACCGAATTGAGACTGGAGAAAAGCGGTTAGAATCTAAGATCAATCATCTCGAAACCCACATGAAAGAGCACATGCACCATTCCCTGAACCACCTCCGGCTGGAAATAGAGAAAGACCGCTTGGCCAACGAGCTGAATGAAAAAAAGAAATAACTCGATTCATGCTGGTATTGTTGGGGACTCCTCAAGTTATTTTTCTATTATTATTTTTGATTTGTTTTCTCGTTCCCCTCCCTTTCTGGCATTTATTTTACTCTTGACTACTTATTTGGATTGATAGCGGGGCCCCAATTGACCTTTGGGTACTAATTCCGGGTATGTATAGTTATCGTGATGTTTGCGGAGGCGGGCAGTCCATTGAAGCTGAGTGATGCTGGAGAAAGTGGGGGGTCTTCAGTAAGAGGGATTTGGGATTGACCCCTTGCGGTACGGGTGCCGTCCATGCTTTTTTCTTGTTTTGGTAGTGATTAGTAAATTGACAATGGACACAACCGACCTTACCTATCGAGTTTCTACCTCCATATCCTTCCGCTTGATTGGTGTGGTTTAACTGGCGAATTTCTATGTATTTAGTAGTGGACGAGTACTGGTTTTTCACGCAATTGGGAGACCAACCTTCCAGGCACGAAGAATATGATACGTACATTGTTGCTGTCGATTGTGGTTAACTTGGGGGTATTAGTAGTGATGGTGTGATACAGGTATGTACTCTATGGTTCGGGACAGCGTCGTGTGGACAGGGAAGGTCGATATACGGTACTGGTGTTGAGTGGTTGGCAGGTTCTTTGGATTTCTCTTTCTTAGTTTCAGGTTTGTTAATGGGTCTGACGGATTCCCGCAAGGATCTAATGGTGGTGATTTTTTCTTTATAGAGTTATCTTTGCAGTCTAGGTTGTTAGGCATCCTCCGAGGTTTCAAATATCTTGCATGTATGTATTTTAAATTCAGACTAGCTAAATTTCCAATACTCCAGCTCAACGACACATCTATTACTTTACTATAACACGAAGGAACGAATCCTACACCACCACCACCACAACCACAACCACCACCACCACTGCTATCACCAAATACCCCATAACACACCCGGAAATATGATTCCCACATTGCAGCCCCCCTCTCCCCTCTGCAAACCAATTCTTCCAAAACCTCACGACATAGTGCACTCCTCTCCTCCGCCATCTCCAACTCCCCCGCCGCCACGCCAATGCTCCATCTAAACCTCTCCGTGGCTTGGGCTGCTGTCACACCCCTGCCCCATCCGGGCCCAGCAACCCACTCTATGATCCTTCTGACCGTCTCAGCGTCGGAGCTCCTAGCCTCGTGCACGGCAAGCAACCCGCTCCGGAACCTGCGAACTCGCAGAGAGAGCTTCAACTTCTCGAACAAGCCTGTGGCCTTCTCCAGGTCGCTAGGTGGGATGAGCTCTATGCCGCGGGTGCCGTTGTATATGGCCCATAGGTTGACTAGCGTGATCACGCCGCCCTCCCGCCTGAGTGTACATACCACGTGCGTCGTCGGCGAGGAATTCTGCTACTTGGCGGGCAAGTGCGGAGAGGTAGAGGTCTGAAGCTTTATCGCTGCTACTGCTGTTGGTGCCGCTAGTGGCGGAGGTTAGCATGTCCTTTGTCACGATTCCGAGGACTTGGGTGGTGTTGCGCAGTGCGGCTTTAGCCTCGCGATTGGCCAATGTCGGGGTTGAGCTTAAGCGTGTGGAAAATTCCTCTGCTAAGCTTACCATTTCTTTAGCTCGGCCCATGAGGGCTTCCAGGTCCTCAAAGGCTCTGCGGATCGCAGCTTCATTCTTCTTGCGCACATTCAGACCCGCGCTCTCGAACCCCGCGATACCCACTACGCCCCCTGTGACCGTGCCGCCATTAACATTAGTCAGACCAGAAGCCCCCCCACCGTTCGGTGCCCCGTCATTTCCACTCTGTCGAGGCGTGGGACCCAGCGGAGCGTTCTGCAGCAGCCACTTCCGCTGTATCAGGGCTTTCTTGAGCGGCTCGTGGAGGACTTTATCCCCGATCAGCCCGCTCTTGCATGATATCGAGGTTGGAGCCGGTGACTCCCCACGGATGATTTCTAGCAGCTGTTGAGGGGGGAGGTCTGAGCTTACCAAGGGCAGATCTCGCAAGGACACAGCCATGGGTGATTCAAGAATGTGCACCTCAGTCAGGCGAACGTGGCTTCGCTGCTGTCACCAGTGGTGGTAGTAGCGGTAGTAGCTGGGCTGGGGGCCGGCTCGCTCCCGGCGGGATACAGCGGCGATAGGAAAGACAGGGGTCTCGGTAACCTCGGCAGTAGCTGCTGTGGAGAACTCTCGAGCACCCCCGGGGATGGCCGAATTCCACAGGCTAGACACGGAGGGATGGATCTTACAGGGGTCCTCTGCGGAATGTAGTTTGACGGGATGAGATTCGAGAACGAACATATAGGGCATACCCAGACTCCTGTCGAAGCCAGCGGCGGTGACGTCGGCCTGATGAACGGGTTAGCGGACTTGGGCACTGCGGACATATTCCATGAGGAGGACATAAAATTGTTCGCAGTAGCGGAGGTGGGAGTAGGGGAATCAAGAAGTAGCGTGATCTTTGGTCAAGATTTCGAGAACCCAGCTGGCACACCACAGAACCTCCTTTCCATCAGCTTTCATTGTTCAAAATTTAGTGTCACGGGTATGAACATAGTAATTCAACGCGATCAATATCCTTAAGCACAATCGCAACCGAGAACTTCCTCGGATCCTTATTATCGACATAGCAAGTACTATGGGACGTCATGTACGCGCTACCATTCTGGAAATTGGTGAATTTTTATTTCCTTTATCTCAAATGGATTAGTGGGGCTGAAGGTTGGGGGGCGGGGAAGAAAGAAAGAAGAAAAATGAAACACACCCTTCGTAAAGCCCGACTGCGGTCTTCACGGATAATAATGTCTTGTCAGGAAAGCATGTCATATCATGTCACGGAGGGTGATGGCGAGGGAGGGAGGGGGGAATAGTTTTTTTTATATTATCAGTAACGAGGGTGAGGTGATGTGGGGTAAGGTAAAGGAGGATGATGACGATGATGTACTATACTATACTATACTATACTCGTAGGTACATAACACTGCTGATCAGGTCAGACAACCAGTAGGGGCTTTCAAAGTTAAAGTAAACGATAGCAAAAATGATAAATACTGAGACATGCATTAGTTTGTAGTAGTGTACATATTGACTCTGGCCAATTGTACCATTGTATTCTAGGAAACATATTTGAGACCCCCTGAAAAAATAAAAATGAAAAAAAGGAAGGTAAAGGATAGATTTAAACTTGGATTTTCTGGTGTGCATGGTGAAAAAATTGTCAATCTATATCATATAAACATACGAAGGATAAAGGATTCTACAGAACAGAAGTGAACAACGAATGAGCCCACAATGATGGCAAGACATCAGAGTATCCATTCAGCTTGAATAAAAGATAAAACAGAGCAGTTGGTACAATGGCTGGAGCTCTACGAGGGCTGTTGTGACCGCATGACCCGATTTTCGGGGCCTGTACCCGCGGGGTTCCCTCGCCGCCGGTGGGAGGAGGCAAATTATCCGCCGGTGTCGTACCCTTAATAGCGAAGGTGCAAATTCTCTTTATCGGTTATGATGACTCCGCTGAGGCTGCAAACAGCACACCGATGTGGAGACAAACCTAAAAATACCAGACGGTCAACTACCAACACTTATAGGTTAAGCACCTAGGCACTATTCCTTAGGTAAGATTTTTTATAATTCGCGATTGAACTTGAATCTTCATGCGCAGTTTGGAAGCTGTTTCTCTTGTCCGCTAGTTGTCTCGATTCCTATCTCTTCTCATCTTTATCTTCATAGCCAAAACCGCAGCTTTATATACACTGAAGAACCGCCTCCTTTCACTGGATACTCTTACAATGTTCCAGACTTCAATCAGCTCATATCCGCTGATCAATCAAACCCCACTTTTTCCCCTCTTTTCACTTGGCTTCTCTCCGCTTCTTATCCACCCATGTCTTTCAGCCAATCACTGATCCTTTATGAACCATGTGCCACATAATTTCCCTACTACTTGCAATCTTTCCCCGCTCTACCCCCTTGAACCTTCTACCTCTTCTTACAAATCCTCTGATAAGCATGACAAAAGAAATAACAAAGATTCCATAATCTCCAGACCTACTTCCGGCACTCCTTTCAGTCGCTTCCTATCATGATTGGAATTGGTAACTCAATTGGAGTGCCGGTGATTTACAATAAGATTCAGCCTAGATGGCCCATTTGCCTTGGTCTTGATAATTCTTTGATTGGCATTTGGGAAGAAGGGGGTTAGTGTTATTCCTCTTCAGGATCTTAGGTCTTCGAGGGGAGCTGTGACAAGCCTCTGAAGTGTAAACGCCATCTCAACACCTCGGTAGACCAACATCCCACATCTTAAGCACTACCCATGATTGAGTAGACCTATAGGCAGATTCGAAAGCTATGATCCAATACTGCACAGTAGCAGATTCCAAAAATCCCCGTCAGAAGCCCTCCTAACGGGAGCAGCAGAAAGCCCGCTATCCCAGCTTTGGCCCTAGCAACACAAGAGATCATCATTGATCATACCCCTCCGCTCCCCCCTGAATCAGGTATAAGAAATTGAAATGTGAGAAACCTCGTACCACAGTGCAGTATGGGGTCTGGACCAATTACTGCGAGCTGCCCTATCCTGGCCAATATTTACCGTATATTAGTGGAGCCGTGGGGAGGGCCAATACTAGCCGCCGTTTCCGCGACCGTTCCTGGAGCTCTGCGCATGATAGCAATTATACTCGTCGCCGGGATATCAGGAAAAAAGTCCCGGCAGGCTTCTCCTGGGCCCCTGCCTGTGACAGGGCAAAGGTTTCCCCAGCCCACATTCTCCTGCAGCGGCTCTATGCTCCAGGTGTTCTGTGTTCCCTGTCATGAGGATAACTTCAGAGTATGGATGGTTCTTTAGCCAGGAGCCGACTCTGGTTGACTCTTTCAAACTTTGTCCTTGTGGCAAGAAGGCTACCCATTTTAAAACTGTGTTACTCCCCGTTCTCAGAGCCATATCGGAGAATATTGAGCGCATTATTGTATAAAGTGGCAGAACAAGTTCACCCATGATGCTGTAGCTTAATACCCGCATGTTGATTGGAAATTTTATATGATTCTTCGCCTAGCGCTTGGACAACCGGTGAGAGAACCAAGGAGTTTATTGGCAAATCTCTTGTATTGTTTTGGGATAGGAAGTCAGCTCTAGACGAGAAAACAGTAGGGGGGTGGAACCCCAGACTCTCAATCATGGTTCGAGCAGAGAGCAACTCTCTTTCCTAGAGCTTATGATATAACAAGGATATTGACACCATATTATAAATAGATCTGGCCACCGAAATTGCCAACATGAGGCATTGCTTTCAACCGGTTGCTCAAATACAGTAGCATCACCTGGAGGCGCCTAACACTGACCCCGAGGTGTACACCATGCCTAAGTATCACCGTTCCTCGAACGCTCAGAGAAAGGGTGAAAACTGGGACGGGAATTTGGGGAGATCCATCACACAAACTGGGGCAGGTCAAACTTACTATATTAGCTTCCCTGGGTGCCTGGGGTGGTACAGCATGACAGCCTGTAAACTACCTTCCTCATATGAGCACGAGCCATACCACCCGAGACCCACCTCCCGATCATCCCATTTCATCCCTTGTACAGCAGCCGACAATCTTGCGCATTCCGATTGACCACGGTACCGATACGCCTACAGCACTTGTCCTACAAACAAACCCACGAGTGAGACTTTATGATCTCACTCTTGCCGCGGAAGGTTACCCGAGCACTACCAACATTCGGACAGCGATCCACAGAACACCCTAGCTCGAAATTCACCCCAGGCTTTTGACGAGACAGGGCGAAACCGTAGGTTATTGAGAGATGTGTAGTGAGATCCTCATACCTCGAACAAAGACCCCATAATTTATCGAAGCTGTCGGGATTCTACAAGAAGGATACTGTGATCTATAATAGCGAAATCTCAAACCTAGGTGTTCATACTTGTTCTCCTTTTCTCACTTTTTTTTTTACTTACCCACCGACACTCGATTTATTGCGGATGTTAGCTGATTGCTGTACTGTACCGCACATCGATAGTAGCGTGCGCAGGTCAAGATCCGATTTGAATTTCTGTACCATACCTGAAAAAAAAAATCGCCGCATTATTTATGCCCGATCTGCCTGGGGCCAGACAAGTCAGTAATGCCATAAATTATGATACGATACATTATTGAACAAAATAAACAACCCTGATGGAGAATCAGCGATCGCGCTGGTAATCTGATAGTCGGGCTATGATACCCCGTGGACGTTCTGCGGTAGCTATAGAAGGAAAGCCCACCCCCAGAACACCCCTTCCACGGCGGAAGCCTTTACTCCTGGGGACCCAGGCACGACACAGCTACAGATAAACTAAGAATAACCACGGCGAAGGCAAATATGACTTTTCAACAAAGTCCATATCTTGGTAATGCCCCACACCTTCCACAACCTAAAATACCAAAACCACCTGACTCCTCCCTAATATAGCGTGGAGTCCACGCCAACCGTAACGATCAGAGGCTCTAGTCCTCCACGACGAACACAGACAGCGAGTGACAACTGCGATGGAGAAAAGGGGTTTGGGGATGTTGTTTTGTAGAAGAAGGAGGATGGTTTTAATGTCGCAGTTAGGGGCAGGAGGATGGATGATTTCGCGGGAGGCGAAGGGAGTTGCAAGAGTTGGAAGAGCAGGTATCCTCAAGTTCCTCTTCATCTCCTAGGTTTTTGTTTGTGATTGGAAGGGCCGGAATTTGTAGGCATTTTTTTTTTTACTCGCGAAAGTTTGGGTTGGAAAAAGGCCCCAGCTAGGAGTTTGGGCAACGCTTTCTCAGTTACTACAAGAGCGCAGTGCTTCATGAATCTGTTTCATGGGATTCCGTGTGAACTGGAGGTGTTGTGATAGCGCTGGGGTTGTTAGGGACTTCCTGATAACCATATGCAAGAAGCAGCCTAGGCGAATGTGAGGGGATGTAAGGAATGTTATGGATTGGAAGGAATGTAGCCACCAGATAGATATCTAGTTGTGGGTTAGATTGGAGTGAGGATGAGGAATGGTATGGATAGAAAGGAATGGGGTCACTTGGTGGACTCGGATATCTGGTCGGTTGGATTCTCTATAGTATATAGTGGTCATCTACTTCGGCGATAGGAAGAAGGTGAATTAAGTCAAGAAAACACTTCACAATTCTTCTTACTCAAATGATCATATCCTCCCCCGCAAAAGTGCCTAACTGAATTCTCCTCTTTACTCCACCTAAACTCTCTTCTACTTCAGGAGGCAGCTGAGATGCTCGAGTGAGAATCTGTGATTATGATGCCCATTTGTTAGCCAATCAGTCATTTCATTCATTCATCCACGCAAATCAATAAATCCCACAACACTTTCCCACGCCCCATAAAAACGGTACGATAACGATAAATTCAAAAACCAAAGCCCAACACGCAAACCTCACAAAACCCAAGCCCAGGAACCCCCTAAGAAGGCACACAAACAGCCCTTACCTCCCCTCCATCCCCAACAAACCCCGCCCACCAACTCCAGAAGCCTCTTCATTCCTAGCGGGAATCCCATAGGATCTCCCATAAGCCCCTGCTCGCCTGTACTCCCTCCCTCCAAACCAAAAATACCAACCCGACAGTTGATCCCCGCGACCGCCAGAACGGGCAGTTGCGGATGCCCCACAAAGACGTTAACGACTTCCTCGTCGCCAGATAATACATAGCTAGCTTGCATGACATGATGCGGCAAATATTTAAACAAATGGATATGTTAGAGAAAGCTGCAGGTGGAGTAGTGGTCGTGGTTTGGGGGACTACTCCTGACGTGGAGTCCATTCTCTATCGGACTATCCACCGCTGGAAAATAATGAAAAGGGGTTACAATCAAGATAGTAAAAGTCTTTTATTTGAAACAAAAAAGATCCGGGGTATATTGCTATCATACTATCATATCAAGTACCTACTAAAACGAAGGTGAAGAAAACGCACCCTAGAGCTAGCTTTGCCTACCCACCTACCTACGAACTACACCCCCAACATCCGAATCCTCACACAACACAGATTTAACCTCGCCAATCAGGAACCTAACTCTTCCCCCGCCTCCGCCTTGTTTCTCCAAACTGAGAACACCAGATTCGACGAAATACGTAAGACGATAAAAACTGGACCCTGAACAAGTGCAATGAAAGAAAGAAAGAAAGGAGAAGCATCTAATTTGCAAGCGACCCTAATTGACTGCATAAGTCGCCGCTCACATTATCACATAGAGATCCCAGGACCCAATCCCTTTGTCTGTCTCTCTCGCTTTTTAGTTCCTTGGAATATTCCGAGATCAGGAATAGTACCTCGTACAAGTGTCGCAATTGCAGAGATATTTTCTCCTGGTTGCGTCACAGCAAGAGAATCCATAGTCATACTACCTCGGGTAAAGATCTGAGGTTAACCTAAGTCACTGATCACGCTAAAAAGCTGCGAAATCTGCAGACAGATTAGGGGATGAGCCCCCCACCCATCCAACCCATTCAGAATAAATTCTTTTCGCCCCCACTGCCTCCCGAGCTCCAAATACGGTATTCTCACACCCGCAATGTCTAACTCTTCCCAGACATTTACCTTTCCGGCTCTGCCATCTGATAGCCACACCCCTGCAGGGGGTTTCACTAACCCCTAACCCTTGCACCATGGCGATGGCCACCAAGATTTTTCGATGCACCGCGAGCTTTTCTTGTGCTTCACTCAGCCCTGCTGCAATCCCACAGAGGAGATTGGCAGCACAGCTGTGCCGCAGATTCATAGCTTCAAGCGGGAAGGATGGGGAGGCTGCTCTAAAAGTGGATGCTGAGAATGAATGAACAGATGCGAGCAATTTTATGAATAAGACTGGCCTCAAGCGCACAGAGGTTGGTGTTGGGAATGGTCTGACAGCGGGTGTGATGATTGCCCCTTCTGCCGGTGCGTCACTCTTTCCCTTCCGGTTGTATTTCTCACGTAGTGAATTGGGAAACTAACGGCCCGGGGTGAATAGGTATTCTCAAGCAAACCACAACAATGGACGTGGGATCTCAATCAATCTACCTTGGCATGCAAGCTCCAACTCCTACGGACCCTTGCGTACTTGATGCTATACTTCTCATCTGTGCCGGTCTCTACGGAAATCCTCAGTCATGCATACATCCCTATGGCTGGGAAACCGAAAAGGTGATTGATATTGCATGTGAGCATGTTACAAAGCTCAATGGAGCCTACCCAAAGGAGATCGTGTTAACCTCTGGAGCCACGGGGTCGAATGATATGTCGATCAAGTATGGGGCGAGGTTTTACGACTCCAAGAAGCATATGATCACATTGCGGACGGACCACAAGTGTATTTTGGATTTGCGGCGACATTTACAAGACGAGGGGTACGATACCTAGGCCGAGCTGGTTAATGAGTGTTGCTACGGCGGTCCTGTATTCTTCGTCTGTCGGATTGCAAGAAGTCATGTTTGGGGGGGGGGAAGGTGGGGAACCCGGAAAGTTAGGTTTTGTAAATCCATTTTACCCAGCAGCAACCCCCACCAACGCGGGAGGCACACGAACAACTATCACAATGGAACCACGAGAAGTGACCCACGGAACCCACAACAGCACTAGGCTCACCTAGATAGACCCAGGAAAGATAATCCCCTTAAGGTAACCGTGCCAAGGTCCCTACCCTTCAAAGGACGCTAAGCGACCTCCGAAGTAGGTGGCACTCCGAGGGAGTGCCTAACAATTCAACAGTAAAGTACCTACGCAAAAGTCTTGGTGATCGTGCATCTCGGCCATGGCAACAACGGTCCAATGTGACTAGAGATTTTGAAATAACTCAACAACAAATCTTTTAAATGAGAAGAGATTAAAGGAAATAAAATGCAAGACCACTATTTACATATTGATGAAATAAAAAATAAAAGAAGTTATTCCTAGTATCTTGTATACCACCCCTTTGCTGCAATAACTGA